CACCTCCTCCTCGTCCTCACGACAGTTACGTTCCCCTTCCTTTTTTAGACCACCACTACCACTTGTCTGTTCCCCATGGACCGACCGACCGTTAACCATTATTCCATCAGCATGGAAGATGTTCCTCCTCTTCTTTTGCATGACTTCGCCTATTACTTAGGTAAGGAATATTTGTGTTTCACCACTTCCTCCTATGCCTTTCATCTCCTTTTCTTCGCATGTCCTCCCTTTTTATGTTTCACATCGAAACTACTTTCCATATTTATAAGTGTTTCTCATTGTTATTCTTTTCTCTCTATCCTCTTCCACTTATCTCTCCTTAGCTTCTTTTATTTATTCCTCCCTGTTTATCTCTGTGCTTTGCACTGTCGTCAACCCTTTCTCCTACTTACCTCTTTTTACTATGCCATGTCACTTATGCCCATTGTACGATGTATTTCCACTTTTTTTCCCAATTTCCTTCTTATTATAATTGCCGTGAGAGGAGCATTCCTCTGCTAGGTGGTCCGTTTTCTGCATCTACTGCACATCCCCAACCGCGGGGCAGGATGACATTGACAAGTGGACTTCTTTTTCCCCCATTCCTTTTCTAATTCTGGTAAATTTTCTTTTTCACTCAAGGATGTTTGTTCTTATCATAACTCAAACAAGTACCTCATCCCTGCATTCCGTTTAACCATATTACTACTATCCACTGGTAAATCATACTTCAAATGTGCAGTCAATGAGATGTAATTCCACTATGCTACCAGTGTCTGCAAGTTGAACGTTATCATATCTCCTCTCCAATTCAACTCAACTCATTCCTCCACTATTTGTCTGTCCAGTGGATGGATCAGCAGGTTGTGGCTTCCTGGTAGGATATTGTGGGTTCCTTCCTCTCCCACTACTTGGATTAGCCAGTCCACGCTTCCCAGTAGCAGTTGGTAGTAGCTGCATCAGTTACGCTGTGACATCGTTGACGCAATCAGTAGTGGCCTCCTCTCTCTCTCTCTCTGTGTGTGTGTGTGTGTGCGTGTGTTATCCATTCCGCCCTATCAAGTGCATTAACGATACTGACATGTTGTGTGTATGCGAGTGTGGGCGGTCGGTGATTAGGTAGCCAATTGGGAAATATGAACATCCTCCAGTGTATTACTATTATTACTATTATCATTGTTGTTGTGTTTGGTTGTGGTTGTTAGAGAGCGAGCCAGCAAGCGAGTATTCATCTCTCTTTCACTCATCCACTCCATCCATTCCATTTTGGCGTTCTTCAATTCCCTCAACATTCACTTCATTCAAAAACTCATCCACCCATTTACCCTTGTCTTTTTCTCTAATACCTCCATTCCTGTCCGCCACGCGTCTGTCTTTCATGTAGTTACCCATTATTGGTGACCCAGTTCCCTCATCATCATTATTATTATTATTTATCATCCATTCACTGCACACCTGTCTACCTTCCATCGACATATTCGCCCCCATCTTACTTTGTATTTCATTTACTTACTTGCCCATTTATTTACCTCTACCTCTACCGCCTCTGTCTTTATTTCAGAGCTAGGCAAGAGGCACTTTCCCACTACCTACCTACCTCAACGCAAATGCCAGCCAACGTAACTCCACAGTCGCCGAGTGGAATTAATTTTGCCTCCTCACTGGACTATTACTTACTTGTTTATCTGCCAAACAACAATATCGGCCCGTCCCTGTATAATGGCACTTTGTTAGAGATTTGCAGGAAGGTAAGACCTTGAAA